TAAGATAATAAACGAATGTATGTCAGAATGTATGCGTATGTGACATCCTGTCGAAAATATACGCGTATATAACGCGTGCTCGCGATGTTTCTCTCCGCTTCGAAAGCGACACGAGACATACATATATATCAATAATTGGATCGCGATCGTCGCAATCGCGACTATCGAGCGTATAGCGAGCACGCGGTCACTCGCTCCGTTCTTGCGGTGAGTCAATGTGTGTATATGTATATGCGAGCTAAAAATGATACGTTGCACGGGGAGTGACGCCATGACGAGTCAGCTCCTCGGCCGATGATCGACACGGCGTGGCGTACGTACATACATGCGAATATTTACGTCAAACATTGCTACGAAATTTGCAATAACTTAGCTCGCGCAGAGAACTTTTTCGTCGAACCATCCATAGAAAGAGGACATTCTTATTTTGAAAATATATTTAGTTGTAACATGCAAATCTTGAAATGAGATTATATCGCGTTATTATTAAAGAAAAATATAATTGCTTGAATAATTGTTTACTTGAATAAAGCCATTTTACGTAGTTCAATCGAGAAAAATATATTCTTTTTTTAAGATTTAATTTTCTTGAATGGAAAAGAAACAATGTTAGATCGAAAATAACATTTTTAAATCAAGGATTATAATTTTCTTAAAGTAGAATAAAATAATTATATATTCTTGAAGTGACAATTACAATATTAACATAAGACTATAATATTGTTGAAATTTAAAATTGACAAACAATGAACGTGTTAGTTTAAGTATATAAGTTTTGATTTGACACTTATTTTTTTTCTGTGTTCTTGTTCAATCGAATATTGTTGCCAACTTATATCTTCAATATGTATGTGAAACTCCGCGTGTGATTTTAAATTTTGAATATTTTCTTGATTTATACAATTAATTTACTACAAATGTTACGTATATTTACGATTGTCGTGTTTATCATTTGTCGTTGTCTTTACTAATAATATCGTTCTGACGAACTATGTTGTTAAGCACGAGTGAGACAAGTGGCATGTACATTTCTCGTCAGCAAAGGTGTGTAAACAGCACTTTGTAAACAGCAAGACAAGGTAAAAAAATCCTAAAATCGAAAATAATAACGATAGAATATTAACCGCTTTAGTTTGAGGCTGTCTGTCTGATATCACGTTGGAAATAATATGTTAAAAATAAGATACTTGATAACAATTTCTACAGTCATTGAGGATTATTTAAATTTAGAAAAATATAAATTATAAATATATAAATATATATTCATTAATTTTTTTCGAGAGATTTATGTCTCTAAATCTCTGGAAAAAAATTAATGGATATATAATTGACGATGCATTAAAATAATTTTTTGTCTTAAACGCGATGTGTTTAAATGTTTTAGTATGATACTGTGTTTTTAATTCATGCCTAAGCATATATGCTTTAAAATACGATTATGAGTCATATAAAACTTACGATTCTCTGAAAACCGATAAGATGATGCATTATCATGCAGTATCTTCAATATTGACTGCACATGAAAATTTAGTGGAGATAAGTTAACGAACGAGTAATTCCGAATGAGAGAAAGACAGAGAAGAGAGAGAGATATTGATAACAAATTAATTTTTAAAAAATTTATTTTTATAAAAACGTTAAAAAAATTAATTAAAAAAAAGATGTAAATACTCAATGTTTATGTTTTCCGTTATTCTTTATTCACTTTCTCTTTATATATTGTCTTTTTTATTTTTCAAATATAATAATTTCACGTTTTTCTTATATTTTTATTCTGTTCTTGACAACAATCTATGGACAACGTTAGATAATTCTTGATTTTTACTGATAAAAATCAAATAAGATGTTTTATAAAAAAGAGGAAAAACCTGTATAGAAAATGTTATGTTGATATTAATCATGTAATATGTACATAATATGTATTATGTATATTAAAACATGTACACTTTATATAATTATGTACAATTCGGATATATGTTTTATATCTTTTCGGTTTTTAATTATTTTTGAACAAACTTTCGCAATGCTTAGCACTGCAAATCATTTAGCAGAGTAGTTTTTGAAAATTAATTAAATTATGAATTTATTAAATTTTATTGTTGCAATATTTTATATTTGCGTCGAACAATAATTTGCAAAATAAATGTAAATATAATTTTGCAAGAAAATATATTTACACGCAATGTATTAATACGAATATAAGAAATAAATGCATGTCATGCGTGTAATGCATTAACAGAATATGTAATTTATGATAAGTAAATAATCGATTTTTATGTATTTTTAAATACAAAATTTTTGAAAAATTCCTACACACTTTGATAAAGTAAAATAAAGTTCAAATAAATTTTTTAACGACATTTGATACATGAATTGATAAGAATAAAGGTAACAAAATTGATTTTTTTTTTGAAATTCGTAGAAGAACAAATTATATTGTTCATTCATTAAAGTTAAAATATTATTTTCCGATCGCGAATTCCCCCGTCTAAATTTATTTAGTTTAATATGAAAGATTTATTTAAAATATGTTTTATAATTAATATACATTTTTGCAATATATAAAAGTTGAACTTGTTTTATATAATTTTATTATATTATTCAGCATTTTGATATACACACATTTTTTGTATAGTAATTATTACGACTTTTTATATACTTTTATGTACTTTAAAAGCATTGCTAGGCATGTGCAAATCTTTTAACATTACTAACTTTAATATAAATTTTATACTAATTGATGGCAAAACTAAATTTGAAATTGGAGTAAAAAATTAATGACAAAACTTATGTACATCCGAATATCATTTCTCATAATTAAGGATATAAGTTAATGTAGAGATAGCTTAATATGCTTAATCTTCGCTTTTACTTTACCTTTTTAAGATATGATAATAAATAGTAAAAATAGCATTTTTTTCAAGGTATTTTCACAAATAATAAGAATATAGTACAAAAAGCAATCGTCTTTCTTAACAAAGCATATAATGTTCCTTAATTTTTAAAATATTTCAAGAAATAAAAAATTAAAAAATAATGATTTTTATAAATCTTTCATATATTACTTTTATAAATTGAAATATATTGTTGCAAATCGTGCATCACTTACACAATCTTTTTTTGAGCACCATTTTTTATTCTTTGATATATAAATAAAAAAACAATATAAAGAAAATGTTCATAAACAAAGTATACACAAAAAATTATATTCTTTAAATTTTTATCTTTATAAAATTAAAAGTGTTACTTTGTAATCTTTTTGTAAATCATAAAACAAATTTAATTTAATTTTAATTTAATTTTAATTTAACTTAATTTTATTTTTATTTATATATATTATATTTGTATTAAAATAAATAAATATTTAAAGGACTTATATTTTCAAAGTACAATATAAACAATTTCCTTTTTTTTAGCTTTCTAATTATCTAATGCCTAATTAATATTTATTTAAATTCTTTAATATAATTGTGTATCTATTTAATTATCCATAGTTTAATTTATAAGTTATCTTTTTCTCGGTTTTTTTATAGAATTGGATTATATTATAAAATTTCATAATATCTTATGTTTCTTCAAGAATATTAATTATTATTAGCAAATGTTGTATCACTTTGATATATCGATTCTTTTAAATATCGTTTGTTAATTTTTCGAGCGTAATTTTCACACGTAAAGTCTTGTTGATCAAGAAATATTTGATACAGTTTAATTTTAAACAAAAAAATAAATCACTTTATAAATCATTATAAAAATCATTGAGGCTAATATTGATATATATAAATTTATTATTTATTTATTAATTATTAGTATAATATATAAATTATTTAACTTTTTTTAATGCATAACTTAAATAAATTTGAAAAGGAATTCAATTTGGGAAATGCAATCTTCTCTTAAAATTTGAATTTAATTATTGAGATAATAAGTATTGTCATAAATATTTGATATAAAATAATAATTGTAATTAATAGCGTATTATTGTGTGTACGACTAATGTACGAATTACTACGTCCAAATATTTTGCACAATCAATGTATACATTTCTAATCGGTCATTGCATCCCAATCTTTTCAAGTATTTGGACAAACAGCGAAAGACACGAGTACATGTAACGCAAATTTTTCGCTACGTATTATGTCAATAATTAAATTCAAATTTTAAGAGAAGAATGCATTTCTCAAATTGAATCCTTTTCAAATTTATTTAAGTTATGCATTAAAAAAGTTAGATAATTTATATGTTATACTAATAATTAATAAATAAATAATAAATTTATATATATTATATTAATAATCAATAAATAATTTTATATATATATATATATATATATATATATATATATACATATATACACACACACGTACCGTGAGCGACATCAGAGTGAAAATAGGCACACATGGGCTACAATTTTAAATTTCCCAATTTTGATGAAAAATGAACGAGAAGGGACATCATCTCTCGCGCGATTTTCCGATTGTACTAAAAATCGATACGTTTGCACGCGATTAATTAAAATTTCTGTGCCGATACCACGACTTGTGTCGTTGCCAATAATAAATTTTCAGACATCTTGAACGTCAACGAATTGTATCTCGCATTTGTGCGATCGGAAAGTTCTCGTCGTGCGACGCGTCCTCGCGCGAAGGTCGCGCCTTCGTGCGAGTGAATAGCAAATGTGCGAGAGAGAGAGAGAGAGAGAGAGAGAGAGAGAGAGAGAGAGAGAGAGAAGGAGAGCGAGCGAGAGAGAGAGATGCAGAAAGAAAGGAAAAGAGGTGGGAGAAAAAGGAGGAAAGATAGAGAGAGAAAGCTAAATCAATCCTTCCATATCATAGATAAACTCCTAATCCTCGATTGGAATTAAGATGATCGCCCAATTAATTAACACTATTCAAATATCATACACCTATAATACCCCGTATCGCGAGAGTGCGTGCGTGTGCGCGTATATATATATCTTATTTATCCTAGAGAAATTGAAAAATCGTGCAGGTACTCACGCATGACGAGGTGCGGAGCGTCGAAGTTTTCGGGCAGGATCTCTCCCCCGGGTCCTCGAAATCTCGCGGATGGCACTCTCATATGCACTCACACACGTGTAACACGTCTCACTTTGCTCTTCTCCTTTTACCGCATCACGTACGTACGTTAAAATGAGCGCGAATACGACGAGGGAAAAATCGCGAGATCGCAGATATCAGATCCCTGAAGAGAGAAGCAAAGAGAAAATAGTCGCGGATCCACAAACAACTTCTGTCTGTTTAGCCTCGCCTCTCGCGAAAGCGCGACCGATCGCTGTCTTCGTTGCACTCTTTACCATTCGTCACCGTCCGAGCATATTCGTCTCTTTCTCTCCCTCTCTCGCATCTTATCACCCATCCACTTTCAATTCTTTCTCTCTCTTTCTTTCCCTCCTTCCCCCCTCCTCCTTCCTTCTTTTTATCGTCCCTCTGCCTCTTTTACTTTCTTTTTCGTTCGAGCCTTTATCCTCTTTTCCATCTTTCTTTAGTCTCGAAAGCGCGTTTTCTGTCTTCGATTGTCCAAGGAGGAAGGAGAACCGTGTTACGTACGAGAGAGACAGGCAGATAGACAAACGGAAAAGGATAGAGAGACAGACGTAGGGAGAGGAAGAGGAAAGGGGGTGAAAGAGAGAGAAAGAGAAAGAGAAAGAGAGAGATAGAGACGCACGTCAATTCGGCGAGAAACAATGCTACAAAGAGAGGACGTTCTTCTTTGAAGAAAACGCAATGACACACGCACGTCACTGACTCCAATTCGACCGCTATGAGTACAAGCACGCGACTGCAGTGTTCGTACATGCTACGGAGTGACTCGCGACTCTGCCATCGACTGCGACGGTGGCGCCGCGGCGGCGACACTCGGAAGCAACACGCGCCAAGTTCGAGCGTCTCGGAGCGAGGGAAACTGACGTTGCCATCACCTTTGCTTCGCGCGATCGAAATAAGTGCCTCTTATTTATCGCGTTGCGAATTTTACGTCCTCGAGAAAATAGAAAAACCAAAAATTATCAAGAAGAAATTGATAAAATAAATAATATAGAATACATTCTTTAGAAATAAAATAAAATCTTTAGAAGTAAAATAAAATCTTTAGAACGGTATTTTTATTTATTATTAATTTAACTGGAATTAATAAAGGTCATTGAAAATAAAATCTTATAGTGAAATTTGCCGGAGAACTAGTTTTTCTATCATTTTGAAATTGCCTCTTAATTTTCAATCTGTTCTAATTTTTATATAATTTTCTAACAATAAGAAAATTATAAATATGTCTGGTATAAATATAGATAATAAATATTTATTATTATAATTTTTAAGCGACATTTTAATATTATAAAAAAAATAGTAATATTTCAATGTGATGAGAGATCAATTATCAGAGAATTTACAATTATTAGATTCAAAATAAAAAAATAATTGCATAGCAAACTACAATAGCAAAATTATATAATAATAGTAATGTATTCGCTTGCATAACTTTGTAAATATAATAAAACAAGATCTATTCCTTAAATATTCATGTTTGTAACAATAGATATATATGGCTCTCATAATATCAATAATAGCAAAGTGAAGATTACATTCTTGTTAAATTAAATTTCATCGCAGATAAAAGATATCCATTTTATTATACTGAATTTTTTATCTGTCTATGTTATTTTCTTTCTATAATAAAAATCTATTGTTACTTAACATTAATATTTTAACATTAATAGTTTTTACAATATCGTCTCTCTCAACATAAGTAAAATAAAGCATATAAATATTATATAGTTGGAGTTTTAACTTTGACTCATCAAAAATTGATGTCTTGTTATTTATGTAAATTATATATATGTAAATGATATGTATGATTTTAAAAAATATATCAGTGCAAGATTGAGAAAGAATTGACAAATTCTTAAAAATATTTTATTTGTAATTTTTGTTAGCATTCTTTAATTATTCGATTAATTGTAAGGCACGAAAATAAAAAAGGCACTTTATCTCTCTTTTTTTTCTTTCACACATTCGCACGTACAAAACACGCACACATTGCACTTTCTTATTCTAAATTATTTTTTATAATTAATCTACATAAGTAAATACATTTAATATTCCAGAGAAAAACTCCAATTACCAGATTATATAGATAAACTAAATATTATATAAATCAGATTTAGTTATAATATTTAAATAAGCTTTTAAATTGTCAAAATCATGAAATAAAACTTTTTCATTTATAATAAGGCTTTTAAATAAAGCTTTTTCATTTTCTGATTGCACACTTATTAAAATACCATAGTTCTATAAAATTTTTTGATAAAAATTCAATATATATATGTTTCTTGTTTTTTATAATTATGCAATATCTATTTTGATCAAATCTATTGACATCACTTACATGTATGTGATAGTGCTGTGACATAAAGGACAAGCGTTTATATTAACTACGTCGCGTTCCGTTGCAACATGATGTCTACAAACGGTACAGATCCATGCAATGCTGAGATCCATCAGCGGTTTGCCCGAAACAATGCAAGCTGGGAACTTGGTCGAGCAATTAGGACACACGGTACACCAATCGGGTACCAAGGTCTCGCAGTTGACGCATTCCGCTTTATTGTTGCGGGAATCCTTCGGAGTATGCTTTGTGAAAATGTTCACCGCCAGTTCTTCGTATTCTTCTTTTTTCGCGTCCGAGATCGTCTCAAGTCCCTCCAATTTTATAAAGGCCTTCGAACAGGTAGCGAACGCGTGATTGACGGCGCTTGACAGCGCCAATAGACAATAAATGTCTTCTACCTCTAGAATATCCTCATAATCTCTCAATCGTAGGGCCGTCTTCATCGCGGCGTCGAAACTGCCGTCATATAATTGTCTGTGAGCAAGCAAAAGAAAGTGATATGCCTCGGCTCCTCGCCAGGCGTTCTCTATGATTTTGGTATCTTCATTGCTTTCAGTAAGACCCATAACAATGTTGCTGCGACCACCTTTTATCGCTGGAACACTGTTGATATGATCCTCGATCAGCAATGCTGCGAGAACGTATATCTTCTTGACTCGCAAAGGATGCGATTTAGACTTGGTTTGCTCTTCGGCAAGACGAAACAATAATTTAGCCGCTTCCAAATTGTAGTTGGCTTTCTTGTACAGCTCGATCGCCTGCAGACGTTTACCATTCGATAATAAATGATTAGCGTATTTATTTAGCAACTCACCGATCTGTGCCATCTTGTAAGTTTTCGCCAGATCAACGGCTTGATCCCAATGATTCAGACGTACGCATGTATCAACAGCAAGTTTTACATCGCCATATTTGATATATGCTGCCACTGCTTGCGAACTCATCCCCACTGAAGTCAACATTCTTGCTACTGTTTTTAAAATAGGACTCTTGTCCGGTAACTGGTCCACTGTTGCTGCCAGTTGATGGAAGTCCTCCAGTTTGTAATAGCATTGAATGAGCTTCTCCAGGTTCCTGCCTTTCTCATAATATTCCTTCGCGTTCTCCCAATTTTGCCTTTCGGCAAAGTGGTCGGCAATCTTGTTGTACGCGTGCTCCATCTGCTTGTCCGAACCTCCGATGCCCATCTTCATTAATTGCAAAACTCGGAAGTAGTCACCTAGTTTTTGGCGCAATGCAATCGCCAAATCTCTTCTGTCTATGTCTAAATACAGCTTCTCGGCCTCGTCATAATTGCCAAGAAACGCTGCTACTTCGGCTTTCTTCAGCTGATCGTTATGCACATTCTGCAGACGTTTGATAAACTGTATACCTAAATAATCTGTGCATCGTACCATGGCGTTTTCCGCCGTTTCTAACTCAAGCTTCGTCAACGCGGACTCAGCTAATAAACGCCACAGACGTGGATGTGGATTATCTTGGATGAAATTATTAGCCTCCTTCAGACCTACTTTGGCCAGCAATTCTCGCGTGTCTCTAAGAGATTTTACTTCCAAGTCGACGATCAATTCTTTTCGCGTGTCGTCGGGTTTCAGCATGAGATCGTCTAGTAAAACGCAACGTATTTCTAAATCCTGGAATGCACAAATGTATCCGGAGCAGGCTATAGGTTCTTCGGGGTCCAGCCCTCTTAGAACATACATCCTGGTCTTCTCCATAATCGCCAAGAGCGCGGGATTGTCCTGCGCCCAACACATAGCCCATACGTCCTTTCTCTCAAACTTGACTATATCTTCGCTCGCATCTCCGTCTCGCGAGTTGGGCGTTTTTTGCGGATCCAGATCCAACATGGTGAGAATACCGTTGGCATCCATGATGGATACACGTGTGGAGTCGCAATTAATAGCAATTTTGTGCAATCTACGCGCCGTGTTGTATCTATTCATGAGCGTAACTTGCGGCAGGGAATATCGTTGAATCATCCCTGATTCTCTGCCAACTAAAAGAACTTTTTCAGTGGCATAAATACAACAGATTGGATCTACGCTAGCCTTCATGTTGATGGGAGTCTCGAATGTACCGTCCTTGTCTAAATCCTGAATAACTTCTGTCACACCGGTCGGTGTTTCGTCCACATGATAGATCTTGTACTTGCGCATCCTGCTAGGATGCAACGATGAATTACGGGGAGTGCGAAAGTGCCATACTAGAAAATTATTTTTAGACGCAGCCATCACCATGTTGGCGGTCATAGTGAGATATAACGGCTCTAAATCCATAAATTTGGAGTCTATCGGTGTGGCAATAGTGTTGCAAACGAGCAGAGCAAATTGCTCGGTAGCTTGAGTAGGATCGTTTCTCACGGAGAGTACACAATGTTCCCCGTGCGAGGCTATCGATATCAAGGCTCGCACATACTTGGTGCAACACGTATTGTTACTCGTGTTCCAGAAAGTTACGCAGATGCCATCCTTGCTGATCTTCTCGTTTGTGAAGACAACTGTGTTACTGAAATAAGTCCACTTGTAATCCAGACGAATATTTGCGAAATATATGTGGGAGTCGACCGATAAAGCGACTCGAAGAGAAGCTTTCTCCCATGTGCAACATGTTACTTCTTTGCCTGGTATCTTCAAGGTCCTCACATGCTCGCCGAATGGTGTATAAAACTGTATAACATTCATGTCCTTTGTCTCTCCATTACTGAGTAATGGCATCATGCCTGTTACCGCCAAGAGAGATCCACAACTGTTCCAACTACACCATGAAGTGGTCACACCAGTTTCCATCATAATCGAATTATCATCACTGGTATCTCGCATTAATTGTATCATGCCATTGCGATAGCAGATAGCAAGAGTAGGACAGTCTATAGCAACGTAACCATTTCTTCCATCGTACCATTGTAGTGCCACTATGACCTGAAACTGAGAGGTATTTAATGAGGGTACGCTCAGTTTTGTTAGGAATACACCTTGATTATTATAAAGATGAAGTTCTCCATTTTTTAAACCAAATAAAAGCAATTTTCCATCTGGAGACCATTGTACAGCAGAAAGGGATACATTCTTGAGTTCTTTGCCCCAGATCCTGTTACCATCAACAGAACCAACAATCACAGCTCCATCTTCATAGACTATACATATTTTTTGACCATCGCAGCTCCATGCCATTCCTCTCACTATAGATTTATTGCGATTGTTTATCATTTCTTCATACCAAGACCCTTTGTACAGCATCCAAACAATTATAACTCCATTTTGATCGCTTGAAGTCAACTTCTGATGTTCTTCGTTCCATGTGACCACTTGAACATGACCGTTATGGCCTTCTAGAGGTTGATTCATGCTTAAATTACTTGCTGCAGCCAAGCCTCGAGCCTTCCCTCCACTGTGTGAGCCACTGACATTGGAATCTACT